ATTTATATATATATATACTTTTACCAGTACCCACCGCCATCCCGGTGAAAAAGTTTGAAAGAACAGATGAGATGAAGGAGGCCGCATTTTAAATTTGAATGCTTACTGCATCGGCTAAATAATCATCTTTTACCATTCGTGCTCAAGACACATGGGGCAGATGAAGTAGAGTTCATCTGTTTCATGGACCTCTCATATTAAGGGATAGTGTGATCAGCACTATGCCCAGTCGCCTTTTGTTTTCCCTAATGTGAGTTAGGTACCCATCGGATCTAGGTGGACTCATGGATGGCCTACTGACTTGATCCCGGATTCGAACTCAAGAATTTCGGCTTAGCGCTCTATCTATCGGTGTAATAGTTTAAATGAAAACTTTTCAAATCATGTTATCTGTTCTAGCGAAACAATATAATATAAATACAAACATGACCAAACACAACGTTAAAATACAAACACAAATACAACGACCCCTTAACTTATAACAGGAAAGTCAAACCACATAAAAACCATACCAAAAGATGACCAACCTCTACGACTCCGTTACACACAGCACAGTGTATGTTCCTATAAACTGCATGTGTCGTGTTGTCCACAACACGTGCATATCTGTCTATGGTCGTCTCATCTACACTAAACTCATCCTCACAAAGATGGCTTGTCTCAGTGTTATCCCAGCTCGTGGGACACGATCGAACATAAAGATATTCCCGGAGCTCTACAGACCCTCCGCTATCACATCCCAGCTTGGGGTTTCTTTCAGTCTTTTGACTTCTCTTTCCTGCATTTAATTCTACGCTTGGCCACGGGTAAGGATCGTCAGTCATCCACACCAGGGGGGTGGTTGGGACGGAGACGTCTGGACAACACACCCCGTACACCTCACACTGCGGCCGGGTGCAGTGACAGGGTGCGCACAGGATCGAATCACAGTCGGACGTACTGTAGTGGATGGTTTGGTTGTTCAGGCACCGCGCGCGGCAGAAGTTCAGCTGGTAGTCGAGAGCTGATGTGCTGCTCTTGTTCCAGTACACGTAGTAGCTGTTGGGGTTGCTGTTCAACACATACTGCGGCACTTCACACGTCCTGAGGTGGAGTGAAGCCGTCACTCTAACAAGACTAACAATCAGAAAATCTAGAAATTTCATGTTGGTTCTGAAAAGAAAACAAGAAAATTATTTTAATATGACACATCTTAAGCTGGTTTGAGTTCGTAATGAACTGTATTCAATGAGTTGTTAATTATTGTTTTGTCTCGATGGAATTTTATAATGAAATTATAATCAGTACTGAATATACACCATAGATGAAGGTGAGAAATCAGGCGGGACAACTGAATGTACGGCCCAGGTGAAGATGGGATATCAGGAAAGACAATTCTCACCTGGTTTATGTACCCGATACCTTGGGCATTTAATTAAAATATTTAAAGAAAAAAAATTCTCTACGTAATCGAAATGAATTTTTCATAAAAATGTTAATTAACCGTGATGTGATGAATAATTTTAGGTTACTTCCTAGTTGTGTGTGTGTGTGTGTGTAGTATGGTGGGGGGGGGGGGGGAGTAGGTCGTTATGTGATTTTTTTTCTACATGTTTATATTGAAAGGTAAGCTAATTACAAATAAATGAAACTTATATGTAGTTTATTGTTTCAAAGTAAGCTATTTTAAAACTTTACATTCAGATTTGTCAATGTTATGTTGTATACTTTAGTCAACTTCGGAAAGCGTGGATTCGGTTTTATACGGATACAAAAAAATAATTGAGAAACATTGAACAAAAAAAATTAATAAAGTCCTGGGATTAATTGTAATTACAAGTGTTGTAAACGATGTTCTAGCCCCCGCCCCCCCCCCCCCCAACCTTTTTGTCCTTATTTCCCACATATTGCTAAAGATAAAGACAAAGGAATGTTTTTAAAATAAACGAAGGATGGTTAAAAAATCTCAAGGCTTTAAGGGGGCAGTATCACCCAGACTAAGGGAGGAAAACAAAAATATTTACACAAAAAAAACTATTCGACATACATATGTCAAAATTGTACAGCAGTAGTAACGCTTCTTCTGTTATAATACAGTATATAAATTGTAGGGTATATGTATAGCAACATATTTGCAAAAAAATATTTTGTTAATATTTTATTACATTTTGAATTTTTTTGTAAACAATTTTCCGAAACCATAAATAAAGTACTTAAAATTTGGTATAAACCTTCCTTGCGTTTATAAGGGATACATTTTTTAGAAAATTTCTAAGTTCGATTTTTTTGGTCTGACTTTGAAAAATTCCAAAAATTTCAAAATTTGCCACAATGGATATGTTCTAGTTCCAGCGATAGGCTATCCTGTTATGCATCCCCCAATGTATTTTCAGCAGGATGGGCCTAAATGTTGGAAAACCGCAGCCACAAATTACTTTGTAAAAAATTTTTGGTTAAAATATTTATAAAAAATGTTTGCATCATACATTAACTTTCTTTTATGTGCTGTTTTATAGCTCCTTATTAATTACTATTATGGTAAAACAATTATGTGTGTATGTGTAATAGTTTTTTTTTGGCAAATTTTTTCGTCAATTTTCAAATGTCTGGGTGATACTGCCCCCTTAATCAAACACCCAGCGAGGCTATACCTTAACGTTATACACGGCAGTTAAATAATATGAAAACGGTTTCTAAAAAATGTAAAACAAAATATAAAAAAATTTAAAGCATTCACAAAAAATTATGTAGTTGTTCTGTAGTAAAAAAAAAATGCTTGTAGTTTCTCTGCAGCAACAAAATAATGTTTGTAATTTCTCTGTAGTAACAAAATAATGTTTGTAGTTTCTCTGTAGTAACAAAATAATGTTTGTAATTTCTCTGTAGTAACAAAAGAATATTTGTAGTTTCTCTGTAGTTAAAAAATGTTTGTAGTTTCTCTGTAGTAACAAAAAAAAAGGCTTGTAGTTTCTCTGTAGTAAAAAAAAATGCTTGTAGTTTCTCTGTAGTAACAAAAAAAAGGCTTGTAGTTTCTCTGTAGTAAAAAAAAAGGCTTGTAGTTTCTCTGTAGTAAAAAAAAATGCTTGTAGTTTCTCTGCAGCAACAAAATAATGTTTGTAATTTCTCTGTAGTAACAAAATAATGTTTGTAGTTTCTCTGTAGTAACAAAAGAATGTTTGTAGTTTCTCTGTACTTAAAAATTGTTTGTAGTTTCTCTGTAGTAAAAAAAACGCTTGTAGTTTCTCTGTAGTAACAAAATAATGTTTGTAGTTTCTCAGTAGTAAAAAATTTCTTTGTAGTTTTGCTGTAGTAAAAAAATGCTTGTAGTTTGTCTGTAGTAAAAAATGAATGCTTGTAGTTTCTACCTGACCTTCGACATCCCTCGGGCTACAGACATCGCCTCAAAGAAATTTAATGAACTAATCAATGACAAGTTTTTAATCAAAAGTCGAGCAAGGTTTTAATTCCCCTGAGGTAATGTTTTGATAATGAATAATTAACTATTTTTAAATAAAACAACGACAGTTCTTTTTTAAATGAAAATATGAATGTTTGTCAAATCCGAGAATGATCTACATTCTGTATGTCCTAATAATTCTATACATTGATTATTTGACCATTGACTAGCTGCCAGTTATAACTGTGTGTCTCATTCAATAAAAAAATGTCGACACTTACAATTTTATTATGTTAACACGTCGCATATTTAAAATTTAAAGAAGTGAATTGATTACAGTTTCACATGGGCTACAGCTAATTAGAATTACTTTGATTCAAGTACATTTTAAAATGCCAACTCAGTTGATATATTAAAAAAAAAGCAAAAATTGCAAAAGTGTAGCGGGCTTAGGGTTATTCGTGACGTCATTTAGAAATGGGGGTGGGTGGGGGGGGGGGGGGGGAAGGGTAGAGTGACGTTTTGTAAAGATGAGTGACCATAGGGTAAAATCGTCTAAGACACGTGATGTTATTTATAGGCGACCTATTATACAACACCTGAAGCCAATTATAATCAATTTCTAGTGACAACTACTGGACTTGGTGCCACATAAGATGAGTTAAGAAGCGACTATAGTGAGATAAGAAAGGTTAAATGTGTAAGGGACAGATCTAATCTTAAAGTTGTATACAGTGCAGGTTGTCCGTAGATCTTATCTTAAAGTTTTTTGTTTTACTGGCAGTACACTACACGTTTTTCATTACAAAAAATTATGTTTGTGTTTTTTTTGAATTGTTAGATGTTGAACTTTGTAACGGTTCGTTACATAAGGGATATATATGAAAAGGATAAGGTAGAAGAGTGGTATTATGTGACGTGTCGTGACGCCGTGAAATGTCTGGAGCATAGAATGGTGGAGAGGGGGAGGGGGGGTGAGTAGATTAGGCTAGTTAGCAGCCAACACATGCAAGAGAGAAAACTCAGAAACTATAAAGTGGTGGAGCCACTTTAGTGATAGAATTAACAACTGTTGATGCCAATTTGTATGTGTCCATTCGCTGGGTGGTCAGAGAGGGGGGGGGGGGTTAAGTTACTGAGGCAGCATCTAGGTTACATTTTTCCCAAGCTTATTGCCATGGATTTTCCTGACTCTACCATCCATCAGACAATGGAACTGGCTGTATAATATTGCTCTGTGTGTTACACTTCCTGCATGTACAATCAAGAAATACTATCGAAAACCTAGATTGATGACAGGTTTTTTTTATCTAGTAACGCCACAAGTCAGTTATGTTATAAAACTCACAATCAAGTAGAACATGGAAAGCTATTTTGTTGTTATAACTAAAAAAACGTGTTAGTTTTAAAATATTTACGCATATAAGCCTACACATTCAGATGTTTGCTTAGTGTAATTTGTGTTAAAAGAACATTAAAAGTTAACTGACTATACTCTGGTATAATAGTACTTAAACCACGTTTTAAAAAATAATGAATATGTATCGTAATCTTAGTCTTATCAGCAAGATTATAAAAAAAAGTCATGAACGACTTTAAAAAATTAAGTGACTGGTTTATAAAGATTTCAGTTGTCAGGAGTTTGTGTAACGTGTGACATTGAGTCGAGCGAAATGTTTCTGTCAGTGTTTGGTGTGGTCGCTCTCATATCCCAAGGTAAGAAATAAAAGGAGAAACATTTTTTTGTTTGTGTATGTCGGAATGTCCAGATTATTTTATCATTTCAAAGACTGGCATATGTTTTAGTACAAACCGGTCTTCGTCTGGCTTTTTAAAATATCAGTTGGTACAATGCAAATATATTAGTCAATTTGTTTGATACTTGAAATATAGATTTGATAAATAGTAAGACAATGCATTTATTTAAAGTAAGTTTAGCAGGAAATAGTATTTTAAAACACCAAATTTTGTCAAGATAATAATCAAATAATTTTGGCAGTGAATTAAAAAAAAATAAAACGGAAAATAATTTTTGCCCGTGGTCGAGGTTTTTCTCGACGTAGTGTCGTTTTTGAAAGTGGGGCACAATAAAGGCAATAACTCTCTCATAGCTGAATCTGTAAAAGTTATTTTTTTTTCCAGTTTTGAAGCCAGATATTAATTTAAAAAAACATGTTATATAGTAGTCTAATACAAACAATAATTACTCATTTTATTTTTGTTAAAATTTTGAAATAAAACCACATAAAAACATAATGTTTTTTTCCCACTGTTCAGCCCTCGCGGCTTACACAGACCCCCACTGTGTAGGTGGTCGTGACGGCATCGTTCACCTGTTTGAGTGGAAATGGAGCGACATTGCTGCCGAGTGTGAGAGGTTTCTGGGTCCCTATGGTTTTTGTGCTGTCCAGGTAAGTTTATTCTGGGTCCCTATGGTTTTTGTGCTGTCCAGGTAAGTTTATTCTGGGTCCCTATGGTTTTTGTGCTGTCCAGGTAAGTCTATTCTGGGTCCCTATGTTTTTTGTTCTGTCCAGGTAAGTTTATTCTGAGCCCCTATGGGTTTTGTGCTGTCCAGGTAAGTCTATTGTTTCTTGAGTCTATGAGCTACCCCGGGAAACAGATAACAATAGCCGTAACCCTAGCCAAAACCCTTAACATCGCTAATCATAACCTCTGTTTTAGGGGAAATAAAGGAGGGCCTATAGCTGTTCGGAATTTAACACCACCCAAGTAATTGTTTAAATTTATTATAGCCAATTTGTTTGATACTTAAAAAATTAGATTGATATCAAGACCTCACCTCCCAAACGTATTGTGTCTCCCATGTACCCAGACCTTAACCTCCAAAACGTATTGTGTCTCCCATGTACCTAGACCTTAACCTCAAAACGTATTGTGTCTCTCATGTACCCAGACCTCACCTGCCAAACGTATTGTGTCTCCCACGTAGACCTCACCTCCCAAACATAATGTGTCTCCCACGTAAACCTCACCTCCCAAACGTATTGTGTCTCCCATGTACCCAGACCTCACCAGCCAACGAGAACAGGGTCGTGACCAACCCCAACCGCCCCTGGTGGGAGAGGTACCAGCCGGTCAGCTACAAGCTACAAACCAGGAGCGGCAGCGAGGCGGAGTTCCGGAGTATGGTGCAGAGGTGCAACAACGCTGGGGTCAGGTACGTTTGTAGGGGTCAGGTGAGGTTTTAGGGGTCAGGTACGTTTGTGGGGTCAGGTAAGGTTTTAGGGGTCAGGTACGTTTGTGGGGTAAGGTAAGGTTTTAGGGGTCAGGTACGTTTGTGGGGTCAGGTAAGATTTTAGGAGTCAAGTACGTTTGTGGGGTCAGGTACGTTTGTGGGATCAGGTTAGGTTTTAGGGGTCAGGTACGTTTGTGGGGTCAGGTAAGGTTTTAGGGGTCAGGTACGTTTGTGGGGTAAGGTAAGGTTTTAGGGGTCAGGTACGTTTGTGAAGTCAGGTTAGGTTTTAGGGGACAATTACGTTTGTGGGGTCAGGTAAGGTTTTAGGAGTCAAGTACGTTTGTGGGGTCAGGTACGTTTGTGGGGTCAGGTTAGGTTTTAGGGGTCAGGTACGTTTGTGGAGTAAGGTAGGTTTTAGGGGTCAGGTACGTTTGTGAAGTCAGGTTAGGTTTTAGGGGTCAGGTACGTTTGAGGGGTAAGGTACGTTTGTGGGGTCGGTAAGGTTTTAGGGTCAGATACGTTTGTGAAGTCAGGTTAGGTTTTAGGGGTCAGGTACTTTTGTGGGGTCAGGTAAGGTTTTAGGGGTTAGGTACGTTTGTGGGGTAAGGTAAGGTTTAGGGGTCAGGTATGTTTGTGGGGTCAGGTAAGGTTTAGGGGTCAGGTACGTTTGTGGGGTCAGGTAAGGTCTTAGAGGTCAGGTACGTTTGTGGGGTAAGGTAAGGTTTTAGGGGTCAGGTACGTTTGTGGGGTCTGGTAAGGTTTTAGGGGTCAGGTAGGTTTGTGGGGTCAGGTAAGGTTTTAGGGGTCAGGTATGTTTGTGGGGTCAGGTAAGGTTTTAGGGGTCAGGTATGTTTGTGGGGTCAGGTAAGGTTTTAGGTGTCAAGTACGTTTGTGGGGTCTGGTAAGGTTTTAGGGGTCAGGTAGGTTTGTGGGGTCAGGTAAGGTTTTAGGGGTCAGGTATGTTTGTGGGGTCAGGTAAGGTTTTAGGGGTCAGGTATGTTTGTGGGGTCAGGTAAGGTTTTAGGGGTCAGGTATGTTTGTGGGGTCAGGTAAGGTTTTAGGGGTCAGATACGTTTGTGGGGTAAGGTAAGGTTTTAGGGGTCAGGTACGTTTGTGGGGTCAGGTAATGTTTTAGGTGTCAAGTACGTTTGTGGGGTCTGGTAAGGTTTTAGGGGTCAGATACGTTTGTGGAGTCACGTAAGGTATTAGGGGTCAGGTACGTTTGTGGGGTCAGGTAAAGTTTTAGGGGTCAGGTATGTTTGTGGGGTCAGGTAAGGTTTTAGGGGTCAGGTACGTGGGGTCAGGTAACGTTTAGGGGTCAGGTACGTTTGTCTGGTCAGTTAAGGATTTATGGGTCAGGTACGTTTGTGGGGGTCAGGTAGGGTTTTAGGGGTCAGGTACGTTTGTGGGGGTCAGGTAAGGTTTTAGGGGTCAGGTACGTTTGTCGGGTCAGGTAAGGATTTATGGGTCAGGTACGTTAGTGCGGGCAGTTGGGATATTTGGGGTCAGCTTGTTTTTCAGGCTCAGCTGAACTGTTTGAGACTAGGCAAGGTTTTAAATTTGTTTAAAGTTAACTTAGAGGTCTGGTTAGTTTTTTTTTACATGAATCTGGGTCATAAATTAGACTTTTGGGATTAGATAAGAGTAAAGTGCGTTTACTTGAAGGGGTCATGTATGTTTTGGATTCGGGCGGTTTAGGGGGCCAGTTATTTTTAGGACAGACAAGCGCTTTAGAGTAGATTTTGGTGTTAGATGCTATTTAGTTACTTGATAAGATTGCAAGATTTGCAAATTACTTTATCTTTAGGAGACTCATTTTTTAACAGATATTTCTATTTTATGTTTTCTATAGAGAATTTTTTTAAAAAAAAAAAAGGTATTAATGATATAAAATTAAATGTAAATCTTCGGTACTGTTTCAAAGAATCTCTGAGCTATCTTGTAAACATAATTAGCTAATTATCCTTGATTCCATGTGTCAGGATCTACGTGGACGTGGTCATCAATCACATGACAGGTGCTGGAGGCACCGGACACGGAACCGGCGGATCCAATTACGACGCCGGAGCTCTTCAGTTCCCGGGTGTTCCCTTCGGACCGACGGATTTTAACGACGGCAGCGACTGTCATACCAGCGACATGAACATTCATAACTACAACAACCCGGAGGAAGTCAGGTAGTGAGGGGGTGGGGGAAGTCAGGTAGAGATGGGGGGGGGGAAGTCAGGTAGTGAGGGGGTGAAGTCAGGTAGTGAGGGGGAAGTGGTGGGGGGGAGTAGTGGGGGAAGTCAGGTAGGGGTGGGGGAAGTGGTGGGGGAAGTCAGGTAGTGAGGGGGTGAAGTCAGGTAGTGAGGGGGGAAGTGGTGGGGGGAGTGGTGGGGGAAGTCAGGTAGGGGTGGGGGGAAGTCAGATAGTGGTGGGGAAGTCAAGTAGTGAGGGGGGGGGGAAGTTGTGGTGGAAGTTGTAGGGGAAGTCAAGTAGTTTTGGGGGAAGTAAGGTAGTGGTGGCGGAAGTCAGGTAGTTATGGGGGAAGTCAGGTAGTTGTGGGGGAAGTCAGGTAGTGGTGGCGGAAGTCAGGTAGTTATGGGGGAAGTAAGGTAGTGGTGGCGGAAGTCAGGTAGTTGTGGGGGAAGTGGTGGGGGAAAGTCAGGTAGTTTTGGGACAGTCAGGTAGTTGAGAGGGAAGTGGTGAGTAAGTCAGGTAGTGAGGGGGGAAGTCAGGTGGGGGAAGTTCGGTAGTGTTAAAGTTCAAGGTCAGACCGTTAGCTATTATCTCTCCCCCAGAAACTGTCGTCTGGTCAGCCTCCTGGATCTGAAGATGAGCAAAGATTACGTGCGCACCAAGGTGGCTGATTACCTGAACCATCTCATCGACCTGGGCGTGGCCGGGTTCAGGGTGGACGCGGCCAAACATATGTGGCCAGGGGATATTGTGGCCGTTTTCTCAAAGGTCAAGGTTAGTACAATGCGGGATAGTATCTGTCTTAGGTCAAGTGTAGTGTGAGATACTCTCAAAGCTTAAGGTTACAACGGGAACTGTTTATGAATGTCAAGGATAGATACATCTCAAATGGCATGCTAAGTACGTTAACTATACTCATTATGGTCTAAATATGTACCATGGGGTGGGGAGGAGTCCGGTTGGTTTAAAATATAACAATTTGACTTTGCTGGGGAGATTCTCAACTGTTCAATTATGAGAAATACTTCGTAGTCTCTTCAACGGCCAGTTTAATCAATGCAGTCGGTGCTGAGTCTCTCTATGGATAACTAAGTATAGGCTATTTTACCGTCTATTGATAATTGCTCTTTGTCTTTAAATATTTTATACTGATCCGTATCATGTGTCTATTTTGATTTTTTTTTCTTTTTCATTGTTCCATACATGATTTTTTAACGCAAGTGATTTCAAAAAGTTATCTCCCTTGATGCTTCAGTCTGTGACCATGGGAGGTCAGCCATTTGTCTATCAAGAGGTCATCGATCAAGGAGGGGAGGCGATCAAAGCGGAGGAATATTTTGCCACAGGACGAGTAACAAACTTCAAATACGGTCTAGAGTTGGCTCGTGTGTTTAGGTAATGTAATACAATATAGTATTTTTTAATGGCTGTAAACAATGCTATTATAAGTAGTCCATAAGGTATTAAGCTGCAATTTACAACGCTATTTCGCTTGCGTTTAGGTTCGTACATGTTCGGAAATTAGTTCTTACTATTGCACATCACATTACGGCAGGGGTCGGCAACCTGCGACTCGCGAGCCGCATACGGCTCTTTTGATGTTCGGATGCGGCTCGCCAGTTTCATAATAAGTATATTATTTTATTTTAAGAATTCATAAAAATATTATACTGTAAAAACAACTTTAAACAAGATAAAAACACTAAGAATTTGTGGAGTAGAGCGTATACAGACAGCTGACAGCTGCTTGGGTACTAGGCCCAGCTTCACAACTGTGATGTGGCCAGCCCAGTGGCAGTAGTTCCATTTATTTTAATAATTATGTGTCAGTGTGCATTAATTTGACTTTAGTGACATGTTTTTTTAGATATTTGCTTCTAAATCAGGTAGGAATAGTGCTACAGTTGTATATAATTTGAATTTGTCATCCTAGCATCCTAGCAGGAAAACCACAACAACAACAATTTCTCTAAAATTAGCGTTACTGTTTAAACGTAAGCACTACACATAACAGCCAACCTAGCATCCTAGCAGAGTTAGTTAAATACTTTATGTTTTGTAGAAACATGGGTATGGTTTTATATTAATAAATATTATTGCATTTGTTTTAAATCCATTTACCCAATACTAATCAAATACAATAATACTGAAAAAAAAATGTTAGTGGCCCTTTAAAAAGTGGGAGATATTGTACATTGTATTTTTATGGCTCTTCAGTCTCAAAAGGTTGCCGACCACTGCATTACGGCTTTTCTGAATCAGTCCTCAGATTGAGGATTTGATAAAATCCAGATTTCCTTAATCCCCGTATTCTGGCTTAACTCTGATTCATTTTTAAAAGTTTTTTGTCAAAATGGTTTAGCTGATCTGATCTTTACTTACTTACAAGACCTTGACCTTAGATTTTGTGCATCTTGGGCACATACTATTTAAAAATTTTCTGTCCACTTTTGGCGAATCAGAAGCTACTATAGACATTTATTTTCCAATAAATTAAGTTACTATTACACCGTCATTGCAGATTCACTACATGATCACACATTATAAAAATCTCAGACAGAACCTTCGGATTTCTCACTCTGATGCAACTTTGACCTTTTTGCAGGCGCCAAAACCCGATGAAGTACCTCAGCAACTTCGGTGTGGGGTGGGGCATGTGGGCCACCGACAAGGTGGTCAACTTCATCGATAACCATGACAACCAGAGAGGCCATGGTGGAGGCGGTGGTGTCCTCACCCATTGGGAGCCCAGGCCATACAAGGTAAGCCCCGCCTCTGTGAGCTAAACCCCGCCTCCGTGAGCTAAACACCGCCTCTGTAAGCTAAACCCCGCCTCTGTTAGCTAAACCCCGCCTCCGTGAGCTAAACACCGCCTCCGTGAGCTAAACCCCGCCTCTGTGAGCTAAACCCCGCCTCTGTGAGCTAAACCCCGCCTCCGTGAGCTAAACACCGCCTCTGTGAGCTAAACCCCGTCTCTGTGAGCTAAACCCCGTCTCTCTGTGGCTGAACCACTTTCCCTCAAAGAGATAAACCAAGTTTGACTGATTTCTGAAACCTATCTAACACAGTAAAGCCCTCTTAAAAACAAAAACCAGAAACCAAAACCATCTAAGAACGTAGTTCTCCAGCTTAAGTCTTATTCTTAAGACTACACAATGTAGACCCCTTCTCTTTAAACTGTCCCTCTATTATTTTAAACGGTAAATATATTTTTGTTCGACTGATGAAGTAATTTCACTATAGAAGCATACATTAACACTTCTCTGTTGGATATAAGCCCCAAATGTGATCATATCTTGCAATATCAATAACTATTAGACCCCAAACCTTCTTCTTTAACGGTAATACGTCGTTACGGTCACAAGCTCAACTTCACAATAGTCCAAAACACGTTTTCTCTATTACCCTCACCTAGCCACCTTCTATTATATCCCTGAACCCATATTCCCCATAGCCTTAAATACGATTTCTCTATATAGCCCTAACCACCATTTCTACATATCCAGTAATCCTGTTCCTCAATAGCTTTAAATACAATTTCTCTTCAGTCCTAAGCACCAACTTTACGGCCCTAAACCCCCATCTTAAAAGTAAGCAGACTGTATTTATCACCATATATCTGAAACATGACCTTTTATTGTAGCTGGCCACGGCCTTTATGTTGGCCCACCCCTACGGCATGCCCCGTGTGATGAGCAGCTACGAGTACAACAGGGCCAACGACTACGAGGGGCCACCACATAACGGCGACATGAGCATCAAGACGGTCACACTAAGTGGCATGACATGCACCGGTGGATGGAGCTGTGAGCACAGGTAAATGACATGCACCGGTGGATGGAGCTGTGAGCACAGGTAAATGACATGCGCTGGTGGATGGAGCTGTGAGCACAGGTAAATGACATGCACCGGTGGATGGAGCTGTAAGCACAGGTAAATGACATGTACCGGTGGATGGAGCTGTAAGCACAGGTAAATGACATGCACTCTTGGTGGAGCTGTGAGCACAGGTAAGTTTTTGTTGTCTTCCGGTGCGTGGCGATGTCTGGTGACGCGTGACGATGTGTGACGTTATGTGCCGTGTGTAACTATGCATAACGGCAGCGGCAGGTTGCACACAGGTAGGTGAGACTGTCAGCTCCGGTACATTTGAATAAGCTTTTGTGACGACGTGTGACAATGTGTGACAAGGTGTGACAACTGCGCCTAATCGCATAGAGATGAATAGAACATGTGCTATTTATACCGTGATTTTCTGACGATGTATGTTAATGTGTGATGATGCATGACATGTGAAGACAGATACCTGTCACTCAAAGGTGGATTGGGATATATAAAAACTATACCAATATTTTGTGACAAAGTAGAACGAGGTGTTATGGAATGTAAAATCAATGAAAAGGTACCGTTTTGTAGTTGCTCTTCATGGGTTGTTTAGTCGAGAAGCATATTTATGTGGATTTTTACTGTGTATGTTTTCTCTCTACGCCGGCGATTGCCGTATGACGTGGTCGACTGTTAGAGCATTTGGCTGCTATCCCGAACGTCTCAGGTTCGGATTTCGGTTTTGGGCTTGTGACTGTAAGACGGCCCTGAGTTCACGATGGTCTGATGGCTGTCTGACTAGCGTTGAGGGAAAGTAAAGGCGGCTGGTTACAGTGCTGACCACACTATCCCTTTATGTGCCGTGGTAAAAAAAACATGAGCCACCGCATATGCCCAATGGATCGCTAGTCTAAAGAGAAATCTTTAAACTAGCATCGCATGCAGCCTATTTTAATTGTTTGAAGTAAATATTCCTGTATACCAGCACCGTCAAGGTGATCGTACACTGAGTTAAAGGTGTTCTTCCTTCTCCCAGGTGGCGCCAGATCTACAACATGGTTGCCTTCCGTAACATGGCCAGAGGCACCGGGGTCAACAACTGGTGGTCAGGCTCCGACTACCAGATCGCCTTCTCCAGGGGGAATAAGGCGTTTATCGCCCTTAATCTCGAGTCCCATGACATCAACACTAATTTACAGGTAAACTTGTCACACGACATACGTGGGTAATTTACAGGTAACCTCGTCACACACGGCATACATGGGTAACTTACACGTAAACTTGTCACACAACATTTATGGGTATTTTACAGATAGCGTCCTGACATGCTACACCAAATAACGGCAGTTGCCAAGGTAAAATGTAATAGCAGGGAATATGTACAGGGGCGTTTACTCAATTATAATAACAAACTTGAGATAATCTTATTTTAACTCATTAAGAGCTTTAACACGTAGCAAAGACGATGTAGAACATATCAATCGCTGATGGTGGGACTTTATGAAACAAACACAACAACAACAACAACAACACACCATAACTTGCGGTAGAAGAGAACATATGACATCATCGTTTGACTGAATAAGATTACCATTTCTATTTTTAGACTGGCCTGCCTGCTGGTACCTACTGTGACGTAATCAGCGGTAACTACGAGAACGGCCACTGCACAGGTAGCTCAGTGACGGTCAGTGCTGACGGCCACGCCCACATCCAGGTGTGTTCCAACTGTGAGGACCCCATGGTGGCCATTCACGTCGGTGAGTACTGTCTGCACATCTTATATTCACGTGAGTGAGTAAAATCTACACGTGTTTACGTTCACGTGGGGGATTTCATAATGCACGTGTTTACATTCACGTCGGTAGGTCGAATCTGTGTTTTGCATATTCATTACAAATGTGTAGGTTGTAATGCACAATGCTAAAAAGTTTTACAAACAACAACTTCCTCTTTTCACACGGCCTAATCTTCTATGTGTATTTCAGGTGCCAAGGTCGGCTCCCCTGCTCACAGATTCTAGACGCAATTATTCCAAATCATTTTGTTTAATCAATTATAAAATAAAAGGGATACAGCCACTACAACTTTTACGTCTTTTAATTTGAGAGTATTTGAAACCAACTATAAATATTTTCAATATATATATATATATATATATATATATATATATATATATATATATATATATATATATATATATATATATATATATAAAGTGAGAGACAGAGAGAGACAGAGAGAGAGAGAGAGAGAGAGAGCTATTGCTTTAGATGGGCCATGTTTCAATGTTTGACACAATCATTTACACATAGTTCCAGTTATGGAACATAAACAATAAAAGCATATAGGTAGGGGACAAATTCCATGTAAAGAAATGTAATATTTAGCGTCGACCTATCTACAATATGTGGAACAGACGTAACGAATCCAGTATGGTTTAAAAAGAATTATATCTGAGTATTATTAAAATATACGAATTTTCTAAAAGGGGAAACAACCAGGTTTACCGTGAAGCAATAATCGTAAGTAGTTATTTCTAGTGGGTATAGGTAATGTGAACTTATTGGTCTAACAATTCCCACGAGTTCAATACCTTATCACAAACACCTGAACCATCGCATAATTTCTTTATTGGACTGACCTTCGACCTTTGATTGTACCACAAATCAATATCTCACTGGACGAGCCTCTGCTGCTAATCGACTTATGCCAGACATTGAATGGCCAGGTATCATCTCTCCCATTGCGTTTGTCGTCTGGTTTGGGATAGGGTGGTCACTGAGGGTGGACGTTCTGTGAGATACAGTGTTATATATTTGACGTTTTGTGAATATTTTGGATACAATGTTTATATATTTGGTGTTTTGTGAACATTTTGGATACAGTGTTTATACATTTGGTGTTTTGTGAATATTTTGGATACAGTGTTTATATGTTTGACATTTTGTGAATATTTTGAATACAGTGTTTGTATATTTGGTGTTTTGTGAATATTTTGGATACAGTGTTTATAAATTTGAGATTTTGTGAATATTTTGGTTACAGTGTTTATAAATTTGAGATTTTGTGAATATTTTGGTTACAGTGTTTATAAATTTGACATTTTGTGAATATTTTGGTTACAGTGTTTATAAATTTGACATTTTGTGAATATTTTGGTTACAGTGTTATTAAAATAAAATTTTTTAGAATATGTTGGTAACAGCGGCTCCTGGGGAGAAATTGCGTGTATTAGAAATACATTATTTGAAATACGAAAACTGCGGTTGCAGCGCGTTTTTAAAGTGGGATCTACGATTATTTGTTCAAATTAGTATCTATCAAACGTATATAAGTAATAAACCGGGAGTGATCTCCCCTAAACTTTCTCGAATATTCTTATATAACTTGGAATGTAGACATGATTTTTTATTACTTAAACTTTTAAAAATAGAATAGAATCTCATAGAAAAAAACATTGCGCACCAAACAAACGCCGAAACAAAATGTGCATAATAGTGCGCAATATTATTAGTACTTTATAAATTTACTTGCGTTTTTTTGAGAAATCGGAAATAGCGTAAATTAGTACTTCCGGTCAACGAAAATTACTCAAAATTTGACAGAAGGTAGAGAATTAGATCTATTACTTACATGTGAAATTTCATTTATCTATTTGAAATAGTACTCAAGTTATAGGCTTTTGAAAAATTCAAAGTAGAAAAAGTACCACTTCCGGTTATCGAAAATTGCTAAAACGTTGATACGGATCTACGATTTTGATAAAATACTTATATATGAAATTTCATCAACCTAGCTGTAACGGTACTCAAGTTATTGTGTTTACACACAGACACACACACACACAGACAGACAGACAGACACACAGACATACGGACAAGATTGCAAAATTATGTTTTTCCGTATCAGTGAGGTGTAAAACGTCGAGATTTGCAAAAAAAATTTTTTTTTGCACGATTACAAGACTTTCTCTATACTTCGTATATACGAGAAAGTAAAAATAGTGTAGGCCTATATGCTTTTTAGTAACTACCCGTTAGTTTATTTAATTGCGTTTATTATAATTTGCATTTTACAAAATAATAAATACTTAAATACCATGGGCAACGTAAAGCCAATCATTTTAAGAAATTAGTTAAATATTAATAATGACGTTTAATGCAAGATTCAATTCATAAATGTTTAAAATAAAATCTATCATAAGTTTTATTGTAAGTTTATTATAATCGTTGCATGAACCGAGCACTAGTGTGTTTAAAGAGCTCAACTCGCTTTCAATACAACAGGTCGTAGCGGTGTTGTCGTCTGTTATCATGTCAGTTAAAGGGTTAAATCAATATGGCTGTCGTTATATGCAAGCGTGTAGGAAGCTGCGGGTTTTGCCGTTACGGTAAGTGGATATATATATATATATATATATATATATATATATATATATATATATATATATATATATACATATATACACACACACACACATATATATATATATATATATATATATATATATATATATATATATATATATATACCAGACTTAGGTAAATAAACATATTCCATAAAAGTAGTCATTTGTATAGTTCATTTGTATTAGTAGTTAATGAGCTTAATTTTTCTAAAGCCTCATTTTGATAGAGACAATGACTTGACGTTTTATTTTAAACAAGCATTTAGTTTTTTATTTTTTGTCAGGCAAGTTTTGTCTCAGCTGGAATCAGCGTTCATTTCTTTTCGCGACCTGACCTTGACCCCACGTGACATCCAAGCTGCTTGCTGGTCCATCCGGGTGAGTTGACTATTTAAACTTTGTATGTGAACTTGTTGACACTTTATTTTAACCACACATATGTATTCTGTTTCACCAAACTGACTAACTAAAAACAGTATTTTATTACTTAACATCTTTTTAATATTAATATATATTTATATATATTAATATTAATAATATATTTTAATATATTAAAATAAATCGACAGTATGATTTGAAGATGCTCTTAGATTCTCTTCTTTAATTTCTTATTAACATACTTGTATTCCTAATGAAAAGAGCCATACTTGTTTATTCGTTACAGAAAATGTTACGGTATTTTACATTTAGATAAAACGTAGTGTTTTAGTTGATAATCTGGGCAACTGCCGAGACTGGAGAGTGTGTTCATGATATCCACAGTATGATACTTTAGCCAACCAGATTATGTTCATGATATCCACATTATGATACTTTAGCCAACGAGATTGTGTTCATGATGTCCACACTATAATACTTTAGTCAATAAGATTTAGTTCATGATGTCCACATTATAATACATTAGCCAACAAGATTATGTTCATGATATCCACATTATGATACTAGTCAATAGGACTGTGTTCATGATATCCACATTATGATACTTTAGCCAACAATATTGTGTTCATGATGTCCACATTATGAAACTTTAGCCAATAAGATTTAGTTCATGATATCCACACTATAATAAGTTAGTCAATAAGATTTAGATTCATGATATCAACACTATAATACTTTAGTCAATAAGATTTAGTTCATGATATCCACATTATGATACTTTAGCCAACAAGATTGTGCTCATGATATCCACATTATGATACTTTAGCTATCAAAATTGTGTTCATGATATCCACATTTTGATACTTTAGCCAAAAAGATTGTGTTCATGATATCCACATTATGATACTTTAGCCAATAAGATTGTGTTCATAATATCCACATTATGATACTTTAGCCAAAAAGATTGTGCTCATGATATCCACATTATAATACATTAGCCAAAAAGATTGTGTTCATGATATCCACATTATGATACTTTAGCCAATAAGATTGTGTTCATAATATCCACATTATGATACTTTAGCCAAAAAGATTGTGCTCATGATATCCACACAATGATACTTTAGCCAAAAAGATTGTGTTCATGATATCCACATTATGATACTTTAGCCAATAAGACGCATGTGGCTCCTGAATCTGTAGAATCCATATCTTGCCATAATATTCCATAATAATCCAGATCTATTACCAGTGCTATCATCAGTACACCTGCAGTACGAGTTCACGAGTACAACTTTTGTACTGACACAAGGTACACATCAATAATTAATAGCGGGAGAGTTGAATCAATGGTGTTTCATCTTTTCTTTCCAGCATAATACATCCGTTCTAAGCCTAGACTTCACGGGAAATTTTATCAAAGGGAGAGAATTTCGACACATCAAAGATTTACTGGCGACATTGGAAAACTTGTGTCACTTAGTAGGTCGTCGACTGGGCAAATGTTTGTGAAAAATATTTCAGTGTGTGTAGTGGGTGAAAAATATAATTTATTTGTACAGTAATACATGATGTACAAATCAATAATTATATAGATGTTATAAGTTTGATTTTGTAGGTAATCAAATTAGACATTTTTTTAACGTTCAAAAATAAGTTGAAATTTTAAACATTAAAAGGAATAGAATACAGTTTTGAACAAGTAGATATAATGTAATAAAGCAGACATATACCCAATTTTTTATGGAGCTTTAAAGAGTTGTTTGACTTCTGTCTATGTGTGTGTGTGTGTAGCTATAAAAAGTTGTTTGACTTATGTCTAAGTGTGTAGCTATAGAAAGTTGTCAAAATTCTACAAATCGTCTTATCTTACCGAATGTTCCAGAATTTGAGCAACAACCAGCTAAGAGGTCCACCCATCGACTCACTGTGTGGGTACCTGTGTACCAATGGTGTCCTTACACGGTTGGACGTGTCAGGTAACGTGTGATCTGTGCAGGGGAGAGGGGTGGGGGTGAAGTGGTCACAGCATCCCCCCCATTACATCCACGCCGCCTGGTCAATATACACAATTTATTTAGTTTATATAAAGTTTGTATAAAGATATATATATATATATATATATATATATATATATATATATATATATATATATATATATATATATATATATATATGTATATATATATATATACATATATATATATATATATATATATATATATATATATATATATATATATATATATATATATATATATATATACTTGATATAAACTTTGGATACAAAATATATATACATTACCCTCGTCCAGTGAATGAGTTGTGTTTAGTCCCGTGTTGTTGTATAACTTACCCTAAGGTCGAGTTCGGGTATAAAAGAAGTGTGAACAGTGGTTAGGAATGTTTTGGTTAGAGTACTAGAGGTAGATTTGAGGTGTATATCATCGGAGACGATTAAGGGCTCAAATCTTTGTGTAGTTTGACACATCGACCTAAACAATTGTATCTGTTAAAGTAGATCTTATGACCATATTTTGATGAATTGTAACACATTTCAATGATGTATGATGTTCCCACAGGTAATAAACTGGACGACAAAGACGCCTTGCCTCTGGCAGCTTTGATCAAAGTGAGTTTTTTTTTATACACAGCGGTGAAAAGGGTTGGGAGGGGGTGTGAAAAACTCGCTTAACCCAGTTCATGCTTATGGTGCTGATCTTGAGTGTAAGTTGAATAAGCTCATGTGGCTTTTAATAATTTAATAATATTTGTGCATTACGTAATATGATTTAATTACCTTTAATGTTAATTTTCATTATATTTTACATTACGGGTGTGTTTATTTCACATGAATGGATGGTGTGGTCAGCACTACGCCCAACCCCCTTTACTTTCCCTAACTTAGGTATCCATCAGAGCTCTATGGACTCGGGGTCATTTTACTGACTTAAGCCTGGATTCGAACTCGAAAGTTTTGGGTTAGTAGTCTACTTGCTCTACTACTAGGCCACTATACTTTCGCTGCTTGTTAAATTCTAGGCCTTCAATCTACCATTTTTGTACTTAGCTACTCAACAATAGGCTTACACAACTACCTTTATGAAACTATCTCCACTCCACTCCTACATAGGTCACATGATATTCCTTCTTTCCTTAGACAAACCGAGTCTTGACAGTCCTACTCTTACGTCACAACGAGTTTAGGGAAGATGGCGGTCTAATCCTAGGGGAGGCAATAGGTCAGTATGTTTCTTACAACCTTATCTGAATCACAAATTTTAAATATAATTATTGCTTTTTTTTCTTCTTGTATATCACAATATTTTTTAGATTTAAAAAAAAAATGAGAATATTTAAAGACAGAATATGTGTGTACTAGTAAGACAGAATCCTTGTTGAAAATGTGTGTGCATAACACAGCAGATTTATAGATTGTGCTCTATACTGCTATTGCCGTGTTTCAGGTATCAACTCCAGTCTTGAAGTATTAGATCTAGGCTGGAACCACATCAGGAGGAGGGGGGCTATTGGCATAGCTCAAGGACTGGAGGTGGTCAACATACATATGATAATTAGAATTAATTGCATCTTCCACCAAAAGTAATATTTAGTACTAAACCAATTTAAGTAACAATGGAACTTGTCAATTTGGTACAAGTCAATCAATTAACCATATATATATATATATATATATATATATATATATATATATATATATATATATATATATATATATATATATATATATATATATATATATAAATTGAATGGAAGTTGAGTGATGGAATATTTTTTATACAAACGAACAACTAACAATAGAAAACAAATTAAAATACAGAAAAAAATTCTTTTCCTGCAGCTAGGTATACATTTTTATAAGTACAGGAGCAGTAGAGTTTATCTTTCTGCAGAGTTTCTTCCAGGCATCTCTTTAGGGGGGGGGGGCGGTGGCAAAGCCCACCCGAAAAAATTCTACTGCCCCCACCCCCCCCCCCCCCCCAACGAAATGAAATTTATATAATTTATATAGAAAATATATACTTTTAACAGTGTCCTCCCCCACCCCCCGAAGAAAATCTACCGCCACACCCCCCCCCCCGGGAAATTTCAAGTGCCCCCCCGGAGAAAAAAATCTGGAAGAAACACTGTCTTTCTGTGGCCCTAGCACTTGACCTCATAGCACGACTTCCCTCCAATTTTTTGCTATAATCGGCTCTAAAACCCAGGCCCCTCTTTTTTCACCCCCTCAAAAACTCACTTGTTAAACAACAGCAACGACTGTGTGAAGGTCTGTCTCTCCTCTCTAAAGAAAAACACCTCCCTGCGCGTGGTCAACCTGGAGTGGAACGGGTTCGGGTTCGAGGGTTGCGTGGCTCTCGGCGACACCCTGGCCTGTAACTGCACAATGACGGAGCTAAACCTGGCGTGCAACAGGATACACCCGCCCGCACTGTTGGAGCTACTGCGGGGCTTGGCTGTCAACAAGACACTCAGGATACTGAAAGTGAGTGGCCAATAGCCGGTTAGCTTGCTAGTTGGCTTGTGAGCAGTTTAATGGTGCGGATGCTGATACACACACACACACACACACACATATATATATATATATATATATATATATATATATATATATATATATATATATATATATATATATATATATATATATATATATATATATATATATATATATATATATATATATATATATATATATTTATTTATTTATATATTTATATGTATGTATAATACATATACATACAAACACATACATATATATGTATAATATATTCATATAAGTATATTGTATGCTATTGACTTAAATCTACCTACTCTATTTTAGCTCGGTCACAATCCCATAACTGCAGGATTCTCTAGTCTGATACTGGCTGTAGTAAAACGACAGCCTGAAAGTGCTCTAGAAAACATCGATCTTGAGGTCAGTCTGGTCAGTTAGGTCACCAGTTTATTCAAAAAAATTAAGGGAAATAAAAAACATTAGCTGGTAGAAGCTGCTCTTAGTTGTGTCTCTAGCATAAACCTATGCGTACCCATAGTTAGGGCAACATCAAGTTGCTATTCAGACTGCTATGTTGAAGATGTGTTTTCTGCGTAGAATGCCAGTGCTGTTTTATTTTAATAGCCTTCGGGGTGTTATGTTTGTCTTTAGGCTCATTTTTTAAGGCTCAAACCTTTTGGCTTATGCTTATACTTTCGGTTTAGGCTCTTGATTTCAGACCTTTAGGCATATTCACGCAGGCCCATGTCTTGTACTATTGTGTTGAAACGTATGTGTCTATGTTTGTGTGTTTAGGAACGTGTATTTAGGCCTAAAACATATGTCTTTATCCTCAAGCATTTACGTTTATGCCTGTAGGTTCATATGCTAAGGCTTATGTCTTTAGACAAATGTGTTTGAGATCATGTGTTAACGCTCATGTGTTAAGGCTTATGATTTTTGGTTCATGACTTTTGGTTCATGACTTTTGGTTCATGACTTTTGGTTCATGACTTTGGTTCATGACTTTTGGTTCTTGACTTTTGGTTCATGACTTTTGGTTCATGACTTTTGGTTCATGACTTTTGGTTCATGACTTTTGGTTCATGACTTTTGGCACACATATTAAGATTGTGCATTTTTGCTTCTTATTTGTGATTGTGTTTAGAATGTGTATTGATTAAGCGTTTAGAATTGTGTTTTTGTGCTTTGAGATTTATTTTTAGTGCTGTCTCTCTGCTCAGGATGTAGTGGTAAACAAATAGTTTGTCTCTCTGTTCAGAATGTGTTAGCGAACAAACAGTTTGTCTCTCTGTTCAGACAAATAGTTTGTCTCTCTGTTCAGAATGTCGTAGTGGACAAATAGTTTGTCTCTCTGTTCAGAATGTCGTAGTGGACAAATAGTTTGTCTCTCTGTTCAGACAAATAGTTTGTCTCTCTGTTCAGAATGTCGTAGTGGACAAATAGTTTGTCTCTCTGTTCAGAATGTCGTAGTGGACAAATAGTTTGTCTCTCTGTTCAGAATATGGTAAGAAAGAAATGTTTGTCTCTCTGTTCAGAATGTGTTAGTGAACAAATAGTTTGTCTCTCTGTTCAGAATGTGTTAGTGAACAAATAGTTTGTCTCTCTGTTCAGAATGTCGTAGTGGACAAATAGTTTGTCTCTCTGTTCAGACAAATAGTTTGTCTCTCTGTTCAGAATGTCGTGGTGGACAAATAGTTTGTCTCTCTGTTCAGACAAATAGTTTGTCTCTCTGTTCAGAATGTCGTGGTGGACAAATAATTTGTCTCTCTGTTCAGAATGTCGTGGTGGACAAAGAGTTTGTCTCTCTGTTCAGAATGTCTCGGTGGACAAATAATTTGTCTCTCTGTTCAGAATGTCGTGGTGGACAAATAGTTTGTCTCTCTGTTCAGAATGTCGTGGTGGACAAGGAATTCGTCTCACTCCTGAGACAGATCCAGCTGGAGAGGTTTTTCATCGTGACCTATGACCTCTCGCTGCCTGTGAGGAAGCTGACCTTGGACGAGATGAGAGAAAAGGTTGGACTGCCCAGTGCCTACAACGTGGACCCACTCAAAATGTTGTACCTGTTAAAGGTACGCAACTCTAGTTGTAATATCGACATGTATCTATTAAATATTTGTAACTGTAGAGAAATTATAGCAGTGTTTCTTTCAGGCATCAATTGGGGGTGGGGATGGGTGGGAGGGAGTGGGGGACTGAAGAGAGTCTACCGCCCCCCCCCCCCTCGAACGAAATGGAATTTATATAGAAAATATGTACTTTTAACAGTGCCCTCCTCCCCCCCCCCCCCCCGAAAATTTTAGTCCGCCCCTCGAAAATTTCAAGTGCCCCCCCCCCCCGGAGAGAAAGGTCTGGAAGAAACACTGTCAGGCATATATTCAGAGGGCCCTCCACAGACCCTTTGAAAACACTTCTACCACCACCCCCCCTCCCCGAATAAAATATAATCGCCCCCCCCCCGGAGAAAAAAGTCTAAAAGAAACACCGCATTATTGGGTGGGAAATCCTCGTTAAAGGTACCAATTGGTATAATGGGATAGTAGGCCTAGTTGTAAAAGGTATGTTGTTCTCATGGCATAATAGTGCTGTCATTGTTAGATATACGTAACTCTTGTGGCTTAATAGATGTGCATGTGTTAAAGGTACGTAACTGGTGGAAAACAACATTATCGATTTATATTTATTAAAGTTGCGTAACTCTCATGGTGTATTGTATTTAGCGCACTGCTCATTCCAAACCTTGCAGTATTAAATTCGACAATTGTAAATTATTATAAGGTTGTTCACGATTGCAGTTGGCCTATTTAAATGTATTAACCGTACTAGATTAATATACCGTCTTTCGTTTAGTATTAACTTACTTTTTAAACTCATAAGCTTTTTAAACATGTATTATTTCTATCGTTTTTTTTTTGTAGCGCCAAACTCTATTATATCCAACTCGTTTATTAAACAAACAAACAAAAAACACATTAGAGAATTCATTTTTAAAAACACGATAAGAAACATTAGCCACAAAACCTTAATATAAAACAAATTAAATGGTGGTATAGGGCTACATGACTTTCTTACTAAAATAAACACCGATTAAAACATCTGGACAGCTAAGCTGTTAGTGTGATAGGCTTTCATGCGGGTGGCACGGGTTCTAGACACATCACGTTAATATGAATAAACAAAAAAAAAACATCTGGATAGAAAAAAGATAGAACCACTTTAACATCCATTAACACAAAGTTACATAGGGCTAAACATAAAGAAAATTCTAAAATTAAACATCACAACACCACAGTATGGGGAAAACCACTATGATGAAACCTGTAATACTACAGCGAACATGCAAGGCAAACTGACGCTGTAAATTACATGTCTAAGGCAAGATGTATTAATATCCAATTTTAAAGAAATTATCAAAATAAAATTTTACAAAAAAAAAAAATTTGATTAAATATGCTCATGAAAATTTTTCATAAAAGATCAATACAAATCTGAAAATAATATTAACAGGAGAAAATGAGAGCGTCTGACTTTTTCTACAAGATCAACAAAGACCACGACAAAGGGTTGCAGAGAAACGAACTGTACGCTTTGTTTGATGTAAGTACGGTGTAATCAAAAGGTCACCAGATGTAAGTACGATGTAATCAAAAGATTACCAGAGAAACGAGTTGTAAGCTTTGTTTGATATAAGTATGATGTAATCAAAATGTCATCAGAGAAACGAGTTTTACGCTTTGTTTGATGTAAGTACGATGTAATCAAAATGTCATCAGAGAAACGAGTTTTACGCTTTGTTTGATGTAAGTACGATGTAATCAAAAGGTCATCAGAGAAACGAGTTTTACGCTTTGTTTGATGTAAGTGCGATGTAATCAAAAGGTCATCAGAGAAACGAGTTTTACGCTTTGTTTGATGTAAGTGCGATGTAATCAAAATGTCACTAAAGGAACGATTTATACGGTTTGATTGATGTAAGTGCGATGTAATCAAAAGGTCACTGTACTGGTAGTTCGTTTTGTTTGATGTAAGTACGATGTAATCAAAAGGTGTTTAGAGGAGCAAGTCGTACGCTTTGTTAGATGTAAGTGCGATGTAATCACAAATTTCGCCTCAAACCCAGCTCTCTGGACTACAAACAACTAACGAAGCGAATTCATGCAACTTACATTCGTTGTTGAAAATAGCATATATTTAGCTTAAAATCTCATTTTAAAAATAAATTTAACTACACTAATGTAGACCACAAATCATCACCCCATAATATATAATAAAATCACTGTGAAAGGAGTGATCAATTATGATTAAACTAGATGTAATAATCTAACATAGTGCAAGGCTCAATTAAAGGTACACTTCATTCAGTTTTAATCTGTTCTATCTATACCGTATAATGTGTGAACAGAACAAAAGAAGACCCTCTTTTTTAAATTGGATTTTTTAAATACATTTTGTCGAAGTTTTTTGGGGTGGAAAGATAATATGAGGTGTTTTCTATGTTATGCTCACTTATATTACGGCTTTTGGTTTAGGAACAGTTTATAGAATGTATACATCAAGTGGGTGGTTCGTTTTTTTTGATAATATGTTCTTGATCCCTATGACGTTTGCCGGTACAGGAAGCCGGACTGCCGGTTACCGGAAGCGTCATTGACAAAATAATGGAGTTTATGGACACTAACGATGACGGCATTATCGATCTTAAGTAAGTTTTTTAATTAAATCTAATACGTAAAATATAAAAATGGTTTCATATAGTGTGACAACTGTTGATTCATGTAGCCGATCTAAAACGAAAAGAGTAATACACAATTTGCAAGCATGAATTAAACATGGAGCTTATATACAATCAGTTAAGTACAAACAAACAGGGAAGCAACGAAACCACGGAGCATGCTGTGACTTAGTCATAGAACCAGAGGCGTAGCGACCCTTCCCGACGCCCGGGGACAATTTTTTCGATTTGTACCCCCCCCCCCCCCACCTCAAACTTTCTATTTGCACCCTCCCCCCTTCAAGATTTCGATTTGCACCCTCCCCCTCAAACTTTCGATTTGCATCCCTCTCAACCTTTCAATTTATTTTTCCAACCCATTTTGGCGCCCCCTAAGGTCGCACATGTGCCCCCCCTCGCTACGCTACTGCATAGAATACAATTTAATAATAAAAAGTCGCCCAAAGCTTTAACACACCTTTTATGATGATTGGGGTTGTGTAATTTGAATTAGAATCGTCTTTCATTTACGGTACGAAAGTCGGATTAAATGAATGCTTTATGATAAAACAAAAATGTTGAAAAGTGTGGCTGGCACAGATTAAAGCTCTACAAATGTAAACAATCCACAGAGAGTTTCTGCTGGGGGACAAGAGAATCAAAAGTATTTCCAGAAAACTGATCAGGGAGGATGTAGAGAAGAAAGATTATAGCAAGTATTCTAGAACATTCCAGAGGGCTCACATTGATCCAATCACTAACGCACTGAAGGTAGGTACTCATCTTGACACACATCACTAACACACTGAAGGTAGGTATCCATAAGGACCCAATTAATAAAGCACTAACGCACACTGCCCAATCAACAATGCATTAAAGGTAGTTATTTCAAATTGACCCTATCACAAACGCATTGAAGGTAGGTACAAATGCGCTAAATGTAGACCCCTCTTCATGTCTTCTTACCCACTCGTTCACACACCAAACAGTTAGATAGACTCTTTCTTTCCTAAACCAGATTGTTCCCATTCTTCACTTTCTCTTCCCCTCACCTACCCAAATGACACACCAAACAGTTCTAAAAAAGTCATCCCCCCACCCCCCACCTGATTGACCCCATCCTCTCCCCCCTCCCACCATTACCTCTACATTAACGTAACAAACATTTCTATAAAACATCAACCTTTCCCCCACTAGATTTTCCCATCTCCCTCCCACCATTACCTCCACAATTACACACCAAACAGTTCTAATTAATAAAATCAACCTTTCCCCCCACCAGATTGTTCCCATCGCTCCCCCTCCCCTCCCCTCCCACCATTACCTCTACATTAACACACCTAACATTTCTATTTATTAAAATCATCCTTCCCCCCACCAGATTGACCCCAACACGTCACCAATGCGACAGTCCAGACGTTTATCTGTGGAGAAGTCCAAGAGAGAGGCAGACGACAAATTAGTTCAGATATCAATTTGAAACATTGGAACAACAAAACTTGTTTAAGAATCGTGCGAATAAAGCATTTTAAAATACCCCTTTGCTGAGGTTAATGTTATATTATTAGATCACCACCCCTTATTTTAAAAAAAATTTTTCCCTCTTATTCAATACAACAACATTAGTCATCGACAATGAACACCGACTAAATTAGGAATTTTTAAACGTTGGAATTTGAATCTACCCAATTTATGGACAATTTAAGTTGATTTGCTGAAATTGCATAGCTCATCATTAAGATAATAAATATAATTGTATATCCCCTTAGGGAATCAAATTATTCGTCAAAATATTATATATAAAAGATAATCTGCTAATACAACATTACTATATAACACGCGATATAACAAAACGACAATCCACAATCTACATCCCTTGTGTTACAGCTAATCTGCAAGAAATAATTAACTATCTTCTATTTTGACAAAATCTGATTTAAAATAAACTTTTTTCCACGTCTAATTCTAATATTTTGTTTGTATTTGAATAAAAATGTCTCTTCCAACAAAAAAATAATAAAAGTGTTAAACCCTCTATACCAATATTCATATATATATATATATATATATATATATATATATATATATATATATATATTTATATATATATATATATATATATATATATATATATATATATATATATATATATATATATATACGTATTTCTAATGTGAGGTTTGATATGTGTTTATACCATATTTAACCGATATCTTAGTAGGTTAAAAATTAAAAACAATTCTAGTATTTGTATGTAGACATCAATGTGTAAACTTACAAAAGAAAGAATCACTCGTACTTTTAGCAACCCATTCATTAACAACCCATGGTGTGGGAACGTGGGGTATAAACAAAACATATCTGACGTCACAGCAGCTGTTATGACGTTTTGGTATCTCACCGCGCATGTCACGGCGGTAACCCCACCTGTGTGAGAACCCGTCATTGACTGGTGGGCTAATTATAGGTTAATACGTCACTCTTGGCCTTGACATCACCACGTAACGGCTAGTTCAATAGACCAATACAGGTCTGTGAGGTTAACCACTGATATTATAAGACATCACAGTTTTGTCCTGGTTTGTTGTATTGTAAGGTACGAAAATATAGCGCACCAACCATATGGCATTGATTTATTCTCATCTATAGAGCATACGGGCGAATATATATATATATATATATATATATATATATATATATATATATATATATATATATATGCCCAAATCCGGATTCATGTCAGTAAAACGTCCCTGAGTCCACCCAGCTTGCAAGGGTACATATTACAATTTAGTGATAGTAATGGCGGCTGGACATATAGCTGACCACTCTATCCCTTTATATACCTAGAGCAAAGAAACAGCTGAACTCTACATCTCCTGCCGCATGTACTGTAAGATTCGGGAAGGAAATTATATATAATTTATCGGGCTATATAAAATGATAGGGTTATATTAGGACCTATATAGGCCTATATAAGGCTATATAAAATTATAGGGTTATATAAGGACCTGTATAGGCGTATATGTTTCGCCCAGGAACACAATGTCTCTGTCAGCAAATTTCTTGTATACATATTTGTGTCTGTCTAATTATATACTTGTATTGTCTAGCCTATATTATCGTCTATTTCTCGGAGATGACGGGCGGGTAAGCACATGATTGCTAAACCGAAAGTCCCGAGTTTGAGCCTTTGGGCAGATGAGGCACCTCAACTGGTGACAGCAACCCATCTAGATGAAAAAAACTTCGAAATCAAGCGGGATTGAAGCTCCTTAAACGATAGATTACCAAATCTGATTTCCTTTCGACAGCTCCTGTGACACTGCTCATTCCAAGCTGTACAGGTAACGTCCTGTCCCTTGGGTCCATCAGCTGTGTGGAGAGAGGGGGGGGGGGGGTTCTGATATATGGACACCATCTTGTTCTTCTCAACTTAGGGCCCAGGCTTTGTGCTTGGAATTCTTATGCGCAATCGTCCAACTGTCTTCATATTTTTCCCACGTTTTCTCTAACTTGCTTTCGCCTCTGTTTGTTTGTTTGTTTGTTTGTTTTTCCAATCAAATCTTGAGATCGAAATTTCGTGCACTTCCCAGTTAGCTAGCGCGCTGAAATTTTCAGGGAAGCTTTGTTTCGGATGACAATAGAATATTCAACTGTTATTATTACTAAATTGATCCATGGAAACATTTTATTGATCATTTTATACCCGTATATAATTGTACAAAAAACGTGGGGGAAAAAGGGACATAACCCAGTAACTGTAATTTGATGAAAAGAAGGTTCGGTACTCTCCCTCTTTTTGCTTACTGAGTAGTTGTCACAACTGGTGGCCAGTATGGGGGAGACGATATGGTCGAGTGGTTGGGCACACGATTGCTAACCCGCTCGACACGGGTTCAAATCTATGTGTTCTAGTCAGTAACGTATTCACACAACGTGTTTTTTACGAGTTGTCTTTTTACGAGTTGTCTTCGTTTACCCAAAAAAAAAAGTGAAAAGTTAAAATCGATAGCAAGATTTCAATGCAAACAAACAGACAAAGACTAAAAAGTAGAAAATAATAATCATTAAAAAAGTTTTAAAAACCCACGTTTTCTGATTGAACTAAAAAGTAGAAAATAAATGCTATACATCACAATAATGCAAGCGATCACTCTACTATAAGCGATGAAAAACGTGGGGCGCCGTGATTTTCTTACAGTTTCTAATACTGTTGACTCTCTACAAGCTCCCTAATAAAAGTCAATAGTATTATCTAATCAATAGTAATATAACTTTTACTTCGGCGCCCCAAGTTTTTCATCGCTTATAGTAGAGTGATCGCTTGCATTATTGTGATGTATAGCATTTATTTTCTACTTTTTAGTTCAATCAGAAAACGTGGGTTTTTAAAACGTTTTTAATGATTATTATTCTCCCATCTTCTTGTCTTTGTTAATCAGTCTACGGGTATAATAACTGGAACCTTGGAGGACATAAAACCTGAAACATCCAACGTTATAATCACACATTTCCAACACAATCCTAAATAAATAGATAAATTATTTATCAGGCCGACCAAAGAATTAACGTGGAAAGGCGAGAGATGTCAGACTTACGTGGGAGCCACTCAAAACGAGCCCGGTGGAGAGGTGTAGTTGCAGCCCTTTGTTTTTCAAGAGTCACGAACGGAATAAGTCAACTTACTCGCCACAAAGCTTAACCAATGCATCAATCAAATCCTATTTTTAGCCAATCTGGGAAAGTTTCAAAAAATGAATTTGAAATTTTGAATCCGAAGAGAATAAAATAAACTAAAAATACCCGCCTAAACATCACCTACGTGACTCTCGAATTTCACGCGTTCATAATAATCATGTAAATAATACACATTTTATAACCAGTCGTCCCTATCCAGGCCAAGATAAGTGTTCCCCAATTGAAGGGTGGATACATTTGCTTTTGATACAAGTAGCGTGTTATGGTATTTAAAGCACAGATCGTGTGGTAGAATATTGTAGACAGATGTAGGATAGCTGGTAAGATTCATGGTGTATCCGTCTAGTTACATACCATAAGGCTAATAAATTACATCCGACAAGGAATTATTAGTCTTAATCCGAATATATATATATATATATATATATATATATATATATATATATATATATATATATATATATATATATATATATATATATATATATATATACATATAATCGTGTTTTAAATGTGGAGGTTGGATATACTTACAGTACGATATGATCTTGCTGGTACTGCTTACGTGTTTGTGTTGTGGTGTTAATGGGTGAGTAATTTTAATATTTTAATAGTCATTAAAACACGATAGCTGTATGTGTTTTTTTTTTTTAATTGGGCAACTTCATCTTTAAATATAGACTGTATATATATAATAATGTTATTTCTTATTTAGCGACATAACACCTAGTCGGTATCAACAGTCAAACGAGACAGGTAGTACAGGAGATATCCTGTGACGTCTAGCTCTTGGTTAGCTCGCAAATATTATTACCCTGAATTCTATCTAAAGGAAACAAAAAATGGCATCATTGTCAGTGTATCAAGAGAAGCTGTGATGCCCATACATCCCATACATACAGATGCCCATACATATATCCAGACACTATGACCCATACATCTGCAAAGTACGGCCCATATATCCGGAAAGTACGACCCAAACATTCCAGAAGGTAGGACCTTCATGCAATACATCGATATGCGACTAAAGAAGACGGCTTTTGAAACTAGAGGTTATGGAGTAAATATATCATGCAACGCTTGCTTTAACACAGAGGAGGCACTTGGAAAAAATGAGGCAACTGAAAGTGTCCATCTAAGACAGGTCCTGATGGTTAACATTTAATGGTGATAGTGAGATTAGAACCAACTGCATGTATGATCACAATTTAGGTTTCAGACATTCTGACAATCATATAGTACTTCCGCTGCTCAGTCCAAGGTAAATTTACAGAAACAAACTTGCCAGATTTTGCTCCACTCATTCAATTGCAGAATGGATTGAATGCCATTCTAAGTTGTCTGAAATTATAAACTTCATATTGAACCTAGTGTAGAGACCAATGCGGTGATGAGCACTACTACTCAACCATGTCGTACCTTCTTCATGAAGTGACGAACGAGCTTTGAAATGTGTTACAAATGTAATTGCATGACAAAATATTTTCCTTTCATTCTACAATAAATCAGGGACTGTGTTCGGATTGTGGGACACAAAGACAGTGTAAAAACGACAGAAATTGTGTCCGAACATGGTTGAACTTCATAGTTTGACGGCAAAAAATAAGAGAGAAACGTTTTAAAATTAGTTGATTCTCGTGAGCTGTGGTCAACTACCCATCTAGGAGATAAAAATCCAAAAGAAAACCGCTGCATTGAAGATTTTTGTTAGGTAGTCAAAGGCTACGGACGCAAATCATTTTGTTAATTAATACTGAATTATGTTGGAGAAAAGAATTCCCTACAGTATTATACAATTACGAAAGCGGAATTAAAAAGCCGACCTATTAGATACATAAATTG